AAATATTACCAACAAAGGATGAAATTATATCCACACCTATTTTAGCTCAAACACAACTTTCATAGTTAAAATTTTTCTTTCGTCCGCTTGTTTAATTTCAGATTTTATGTGGAGAAAATTCCAGTAAAATCATATTTTATAGTTTGAAAAAAGCTATTTTTACCAACCTAATCTTGACCTTGTTGGCTTTTTGGCCAGAATAAAGTTGTCTCAATTAATAGAGATTGAGAGTATGCAGTGGCGAACTTAGAGGGCTAGCGATGGCCCTCGCCCCCAGATCCAAAACTTTCTTGCTTATTTAGGTAAAAAAAACTATAAAAAAAAGATTTTTCATATACTGTATTTAATTAAAAAAAAATGGAGGTTGGCTCTCTTACTACAACATGCTCACTTTCAAACTCAAATTACTCTTTTGGTAGAAAAAGGAAAAAACCAGCACCAATCTACAAAAGAAAGTTGTGCGCCTATCCATATGTTTTAAACCTTTTATCAATATGACTTTGTCTGTGATAATCTGGTAGAACATTCACAGAACTTATTTTCGATCTCTTGCTTCTTATTTTATGTTCATTTTCTTCCAGTCCCTAAATACTTCAGATCTGAATAATAAACACGTCTGGCATGGAATCGAGCTTCCAACATAATGCTCTTTGAATTTTAACCGAGTCGCTTTCTCTTTGTAGGAAGGAGAGAATTTCACTTCGTTTAATCTGATGAAAGATAACCAAAGGAAAGGTAAAATAGTAAGATCGATGAAGAAAGAAAACCGACTCTTTACAAACTAGGAACGAGAGAAAATAGGTACTCTGATCTACTGCGATAATGATCTTGGTCAAAGATTTAAAAAGAAAATGTGTGAATTCGGTTAAAAAGGGTGTGGAAATAACTCCGCCCAACTATTCAAAGACCAAAAGTAGAAAAGAGCACAAAGAAATTCTATAGTTACTTTAGCTTAGACCCATGCATTAAAGCGGTATATAGAAATTTGAGCATAACCTGGACCTCCCCATAATCGGAGGAAAAACCAAAAGCGAAGCAAATGGTCGTGCAAAGATGATGGAGGGTCAATGCTTTTGTGTGCTTTAGCCCACACAAGACTTTGCAATTCGTTGACGACGCCAGAAAAGTTTTCTTTAAAAGAAAAGGAAGAAATTGAATGAAAAGGGTCTAGAAATTTCACTTTCGTAATGCTCTGTAGCCTCTTGATTGATTGTAAGTTTGTTGACTTTTCTCCGCTGGTTTTGTGACCCAATTTTCGGATTCTGGATTCTCGTGATGTGATAAGCTTTCTTGTCTTTGTGCTGATTCATCGTGCTTTTTTTTTTTTTTTTTTGCTTTGTGAATGTCGTTGAATGATGCAATGAAGCTATAGTGCCCGGTAAAGTTTCGAGGATAGATAGTAAAAAACTGCAGTCAAAAAGGCTTATTCTCAATAAGTAGCACAGGAGTGGTGCTGCAGCTTTTGATAGTCCAATAACTTTCGTATTAGAAGGTTTGTTGTGTTAATGATTTTAAGTGGGAAAATTATACTGAAAGTTGCAAAACATTAGAACTAGATTACATTCTTTAAAAAAAACTTAGGATTTGATTACAATAATTGGAATTTTCATGGCTCTATTGCGCTCTAAAAATAGGATTTAGTTCGTGCATCTTCACAGTTTCACTTTGAAAGCTGAAAAGTTCAGATCCTCACCAAAAATTGATATTTAATTGGATTTCTATAAATCTGAATTGAGATTTTTGCTAATGCAAAACGAAGAGGAAATCGCTTCTTCTTGCCAGTCATTCAAAATTACTATTAGGAGATGATCTACCATCTAAACTTTCCTTCAATATATATTTGTATGTATTCTTACTATAATATATGAAATAAAGAAAATTACCTTGGAACGACTAAAACAAATTAAACCAAAATTTCAACATTGACTATTAGTAGAATTTTAGCAATTTTTTTCCTTCAATATTCTTAGCATCTAGCATGGAGCTCCCGTTAACTGTTATCAAGCCAAAGTTTTTTTTTTTTTTGGGTCGAAATCAAGCCAAAGTTTGGCTTGCAGCCAAATTTTACAAGTAACAATTATTTATAATCAAGAGTCACATTTCGCTCCGTATCAAGTGCTTCATCGGAGTTCCCAATACCATCCTCTACGCTTTTTTTAGGGTCTCGTTGGGACTTATTAAGCACACATAATAAAAGAATATCTCAGTTTTTAGATCATTGATCATACTTAGCACAGAAAGAAACACTTATAAAACTACTAACGATTTCAACCGATCGCTTAACAAGTGCTTCCAAAATCCTTTTCTTTTTCATTAGGGACGGAAGAAAAGAGTGAGGATTGGCGACGAACACAACTTCCTCAAAGTCCCACGCCACTACAGAATGTAAAACTACTCGATTCATCTGTAAGAGCGTGATGCTAGGCCTATCAACAGTTTAGTTCAATTCGGGTTTTCATGATACCAGAATCAAACCATATGGAACGTTTGCAAGCTTTGACCCATCCTGAACCGAAACCCTAATATGACCCGAACCAAAAATGCGGTTCAGTTTAGGTTTGGGTCTCGGGTTTGCAAGTGTTTTTTTTCAAATATATATCCCCGTTTGATCATGAAGTTCCTCTGCTCTTCCTAAATCTTCAGATCTCTGCATAAATGAAACAATAGAAACTCCGCACTCAGGAACTGAGCTCATGCCCACCCATTGCAATGAACAAAATCAGGGGAAAAAGTCAAATAGGAAGGGGACCGCATAAGTGCATTGGAAGTCAGAAAACTTGTCGCGAAAGTGCAATCGAGTCCTAAAACTTTCAAAAAGTGTAATCAAGTCTTAAAACTTGTCAAATTGGTCCAATCAAGTTTTTCCGTTGATTACACATTTTGAAAGTTTTAGGACGCGATTGCACTGTCACGAAAAGTTTTAAGTTTTCAATGCACTTATCCTATAGGAGAGTTAATTTCTTATCAAGAACTTGACAGTGCAATGTGAGAATCATCAATTCACCATTATTAAGAAGTGGTTCCCACCACCACCACCACCACCACCACCACCTCCACCACCACCGAAGAGAAGAAATAGAGAGAGAGAGAGAGTATACTTACCTAGGGCTTCTCAATCAATGGCAGGTTTCGCGGGAGCGACGAAGGAGACGATTCGTAAGACCAGTTTAGGGTTTGAGACTTTGAACTCGGAGTTAAAGTGTAGGATAATGTGTATCGGCGGTCCGGTTCGGGCTATGACCCGAACCAACAAAAAGAAAAGTTGTTTTTTCCATTACTTGAACTGAATTGCAAAAACCAGAAACTTTCGATTTCGATCCGGTTTCTACACCCCTGCATGATGCCATTACCCTCGTCATCATGACAGAAGTCGAGAAGCATCTAAACACGAAACAGAAAACACTTACGGCACGAGCTAGCGGGAAGTCCACTACTCACGACATAGCTCGAACTCATGATCTCATGGACGTAAGAAGGCGCAAACAACTCCTTAGCCACCGGTCACCACAAGTATCGCGAGTGCTTCTAGAATACTCGTCGATTGAAATATTTCATTTCTTTCCTTCCTTCCTTTTCTTTTCCTTCAATTTTCTCGTTTTTGCCAACACCAAAAAAAGAAAAGAAAAAAAAAAAAACAAAAGAAGGGAAGAGCACCACAATACGGTGGACAGGAGAGCACGGGATGAGATCTGATCAGTACGCTGACTCCTCGCCTTTACACTATGTGTCTGTCCTGTCTGTCGTCATCTCGAATCCCCCGCGAGCGTAGAAAAAGGTGTCATAATATTGCACTGAACGAGGGGGACTATTGTTCCCTTTTCCGTGTTAAATCCCTCAACCAAAGGGGGAGGGGTGGGGGGAGGACAAAATTAAAAAAAAAAAAATATTTTTGTCATTTTTGCCAAAGCGTCAATAATAATAATATCCCAAATAATAATAATAATAATAATTTAAGAAAAGAAAACAAAGGGCAGAAAATAGGGATGACGAAAACATAGCAACTCCCACTATTTGATTATCTTTTTGATTTGCAATTTCCATAACTAGGTCGGCGAATTAGCTCAACCAAATTCTTGACTTCTTGCTGGTTTTTACTCGTTTGGTGTCTCATCACTTTCATTGGTCGTCACCCCTCTCAATCACTCGCCTCATCAATCCCCACTCCACCCCCACGACGCTTTGATTTGGTTGCGTTAATTATTGCGAATTCTTGTCCATTTCACGCTTGGCATGAATGTTCATGGTAAGTCTTGTCATGCGTTTCTCGAGCCGACACCGAGCTTGACGAACCGAGCGCCCTGCATTTGCGACCGCCAAATGGTTTCTCCTCTTACACGTAGCGAGCGAGTCGGGTTGCGGTGGGGCCGCCTTTCGTGTACGTTCACTAGTTGGCTTTCCCGGCTGTTCCCGAGGGCACGATTGCACGAGTCGGTCTAATACATTTCGGATTTTCACTTAGGGAGTGTGTTCCGGATAAGGCTTGACCCCAACATAGTAGGGAGATGAGCGAATTCACTTGCTATCTAGGCCAACGACATGTTATTGGTTAAGATGGGTTAAATGGTTTCCACCTCGGTTACGATTTTCGGCTGATTTTAGTCTGCGAGAATGATTTTTCATTTGATTTCAACGGCTTTTAAGGGACACGCTGACTTTTAACTTCATCACGTAAGAATTAATGCCCGATCCCGACCGAAGTCCCCTGTCCATTCTCTGCGTAAATGTTTTTTCTATTTAACCGGCCTTCTAGATCAAGATTAAACTGCCTATATTTTCAGGTGCACCCAGGGAATTGAGTTGTCATTCCTTGTTGGTTTAGCCTCAGCACCAAATCAACTCAAACCAAAAAATCGATCTTGAAAATACCAACATTTCCTTGTGCTATATACGTATATATATCATCAAAAGTAGCTGTTGAAAACAGATAGAACCCCCGGACAAAGCCAAAAACTTTTGGGGGAGTGGGTGGAAAAAGGGGACGATAGAAAAAGAAAAACAGAGGAACAGTAAGAGAACCAGGGAGATTATGATGATGATGATGATGATATAGGGTATAGAGGAAGCTGTTGCATGATAGCTGATAATATGATTAGGTCATGATGATCTGCTGCTGGATAAATGGGGATTGATATCAACGTGGATCGGAAATTTTTCTTCTGGTTTTTTTCTTCTCTTTTACCTTTGAGAGAGAAAAAGGAGAAGGGAGAAAAGGGTGGTAGCTGCCGCTGAATCCTATATGCAAAACTGCATGAGAGAGAGAGAGAGAGAGAGAGAGAGAGAGAGGCCAGTTTGGCAGGGGCAGTGTGGTCTGCTAACTTTTATTGCTCTCTTTGTCCTCTTTCACCTCTCTCCTCTCCATCCTCCCCTTTTTATCCCCCCCTCCCTCCTTCCTTTTCCTTCTCACTGCCTCTCATACCCATCTCTCTCTCTCTCTCTCTCTCACCATCTTCAAGACTCTCGTGCCCATAGTTCTCTCTCTCTCTCTCTATCTCTGAGGGCTTCGTGTGTTTTCAGGGTTTGGAGGGAGATCAGAAAGGAAGCCTTCTTGTTTTGAGGGGAATGTTGTCTGGCTCGAGGCCACCATCCTCAGATCACCGATCTTCATCTCGAAAGATCCACTAAGACCCATCATTTATTTGTGTTTTTAAGTTGTGGGTTGGGATCACATCAGACCCATTTGAGATGATCATGTGATTGGTCGATTCAGATCATGAGCTTGACGACCTCGGACCAGGCTTCATTCCCCCCAATTATCGCTTCCCCCCCTCCCTGCCGATCTCCTTCACTGTGTTATGGATCGATCTTGAGGTGAGTCTCCACGAAAACAGAAAGAGCTCGAGACTTTTTCGTCTTCCTGTTCCATAACTATGGTTTTTTGTTTCAATTTTTGTTTCAGATGTTGGTTGTGTTTTCTTTTTTTTCCCCTTGCTTTGTCAGTAGTGAAATTAAGGCTTCTATGTGCGTGTTTGTGCATGAGCAGATTGGTGTAATGATTATAGATTTTGACCCTATCTCATGTTTCCTCCATATCCTTTTCTTCTTCTGACGATGGATGGATAAAGTTTCATCATTACACTTTGATTTTTTCCTTCCTCTCTCTCTCTCTCCCTCTCTCTCTCTCTCTCCCTAAAATCTATGATGTTTCTCTTGTCAGTCTAAGGCGCTTTGTGGGTTCATCATTGGCACTGGATTTCTTCATGATGGCTTCATGAATCTTCCTCGCCTGTCTCTTTCTCGCTCCTCCACTCTGATCTGCTTCCATTGTTGCTGGCTTCTTTTACTTTAGGGTTTTTCTTTTTCTTAAATGAGTTCTCCCCGCGATGCTGATCTTGCATATCTGCAATCAAATTTTTGCCTTATTTATCAAAACCAGTCCAGTCCCTTCACTTTCTTTCGCTTGGCACGAGCTTTTCTTGCTAGTTCTGTGCCGAAAGAAAGAAAGAACAGAAATTATAACGTCATCAAAGGCTGGTCTAGTTCTGCATCTTTCGTTTTAACGTGTTTGGTGTGTGACAGTGTATGAGCTACTTTTACAGATTGGTGCTTTGCTTTTCATTGTTAACGGCTGAATCTGTGTCAGGTTTGACTCTCTCGTATGAAATGCGCGACTTGAAGAAGGACTAGATAACCGGTAATTTGCACTAATAATACCTGGTGTTAATGCAAAAGGAAAAAAAGAGGTCTTATGGTTGCTTCCATTATATATGCATAAGTGACTGCTTGTAAGCATTTGATTGTGTTTTTGTAAGAACATCATGGTTCCCGACCTTGTATTTGATGAGAGATACTTGCGAAACTAGCTTTGAGAAGCTTGGCCTTCACACTTCTCGAATATTTTGTTGAGGAAAAAAAGTGGAAGGAATATAATCATTCAGAGAAGAGAGAAGATGCTGCTGAGTGCATATGGAAGCTGTGTTGGTGAAGCAACCCCAGCTGTGCGTGAGAGCAAAAATGTGCTCATTAGAGTATTCGCGAGAATTGGCGACGATGCCATTAAAGCGTATTCGAGAAGCAGAACCCACTTAGTAATTAGCAAAGTGTTGTTTGTTGCCTCTGGTTTTGTATCTTGAAATGTCGCAGAGCTTATTATGCGAGGTTAACAAGAAGGCATTACCAAATACCAAGTGTATGTATCTTTGATGCTTTGGGAGTAATGGGTCGTTGCTTCACATATTGTAAAGAAACAAAAAACAAGGAGAGAGAGAGAGAGAGAGAGAGATGTGATAGATGGGACCTCTGATTTTGCGAGACCTTATGGTCTTGTCATGTACAAGAGGGAAGGTTGCAGTATTCCCTTTGAAACTTGAGGAAAAAATTTTGAAATCGTTCCAACCACATCTTCTTCTTCTACAAAAGAACATCGGAGTTACCTCTGCACATGGGAAGTGAACAGTGCACCAAATAATTGCAGATGTGGATGTGGATTTCAGAACATGATCGCCACTCAAAAGCAGACCTTTTCGACTTCTTGGTTTCCTAGGCTTACAAAACCTTAAACTCAAATCGATACGAAAGGAAAAAAAGAAAGAAGAGAACAGACCAGCATTTCCATTGGTCAAATACCTTGCGTTCTATCCATACCATTACACATAAGGCAGAGATAACAAAGACCGCGTGGGTGCATATACATAACGTGCAAGACACAGCCAAAAAGAAGTAAAGGGCCTTGGTTTCTTGAGCGAGCAGGTTTCACTTTGTTCCATTTAAAGATGTTGCAGAGTATGGGAGTGGTGAAGAAGGGATCATTGCTTGAGCCTCGGGAGTGAAATGTGATAAGAGATGGTGTCGTCGTCATCGAGAGGACGCGGTCGTGATTGGGGTTTGTGCATGAAATGGTGGTGGTAGTGGTGGTGGAGGTGGTGGTGAATGATTCTGCTGCCATCAATTTCTGAAGCCAATTGAAGACACGGTTTTAATGGTGGTGTGTGTATCTGACTGACTTGCGTCCTGTGTGGGCTTTCAAGATTTCTTCCCTCTCTCTCTCTCTCTCTCTCTCTTTCTCTCTCTGCCTTTCTTTTGTCTTTGCTTTCGCTAACAACGCAGTGAAGTCAACATCAGCATTTACGCCATGAATTCTCTCCCGACTGTCTCTGATTCATTGTAGACTACGATGTATCATTTGCGAGAACAGTGTGCATATGAATGAATATGACTCGGCCTTTCACTTTGAATTCTTCCGCTTCAGAAAAAACAGCAAAGAGCAAAAACAAAAACAGGAAAAAAAGAAATTGAGCGTCCTTACTGGCTGGTTACTGATTTAGTGATTGCTTTCGAAACATGAAAAGTTTATATTAATAAGTGCGACATCTATGTCGAGCACATCCATCGTTTAGAAGCATCGCGCAAAGTTTTTAAACACGGTAAGCCCTGCATTGAAACGGTGAGGTCCGCATCGTTGATTTGAAACTGGTTGTTTATAAAGGATGAGTGCTCTTCAAATAGATGACTCCATAATGCAGGTACAGAGGGTACATCATATTTGAAGCATTAGTCAATAAAAAGATATGCTACGAGAATAGTCCGTGCATTGAGAATTGTACTTTTTCCTTGCTATTTTGTTACTTAACAAGTAGCGGGCAGGAGATACTTTTTAACCAAATCCTACTGATTCTAAGGTTCGCACGGCATATGCATCCATCTCGCACTATTTCCTGTTTATTTTGGGAATTTTGTGTTAAGATGTGAATTAACCAGAATAAATAACATGTGAGATCTTGCTTGTGAATCTTGTATAGAAAGAATGCACCATCTTTATAAGGACCCCCTTTTTTCTCTTGACTTTATTATTCTACCTATCTATTGTCGTTTAACTTACCAAAAGGAGCATCTTCACCTTGCAACGCGTCTCTCTCTCTATAACCTGTACAACATGGGCACTTCTACATATCCCTAAGAATCAGATCTTTGGAAATCAGCTACCATTGGATCACAAGAAAACAAGTCTCCTATGTTCATTCGAAACTTTCCAAACACTTGCGAGGTATACCTATCTGTTCAGGAGATACTACAAAATGAACTTGGGTACGATGATTTTGTAATGACGAATCGGTCCCTCGAGAGACCATAGAAATCCCTTGAGTTCACATGATGTATCGAGTTAAAACAGCAAATGATTCGATTTCATTCATCATTTGGATGCGCAGCTCCCCCACAAAGAACTAGAAAGCTATATGGACATATCCTCCGTTCTCGTGGAATGTGAGGAACGCTTTCATAGGTAAATAGACTCCAAGCCCGCGAAGTACCATTGCCTCTAAAATTTCGTGTGAATGACATAAAGTGAACCATTTTTCCACACATGACAGTGTTGAGAACCCAACTTTTGTGCGTCAACGCGCACGTGAAGGCATTGTCTCGAAACACTAAGCTTTTGACTAATCAAGATTTAACACCATAAAATATGAAGATTTCACCCTTTTTCTTTCCCCTCTCTCCCTCTTGATTGATCTCCTGAACTGAAGTGATATTTGTAATTTACGGAGTTTCTTGTATTTCCCTGTGTCGGTAGATGCGTGAATGGTCGAAACGTGTATCGATTAACTTGTGAGCTTGTGGACGCGAGTTGGGTCCGCAGGGGGCAAATCGACATTTTCCATCCACTTGATATGCATAGTATTGACCTTGGGCTTAAAGTTAATCATGTTTAGTAATCCAATTATGCATCATGGCCTAAGAAGAGACGTCCTCGAAAATTGAACCCCATCGCAATATCTCGTCAACGATTCATGAGTGACCACTTTATGATTGTACGGGAGAGGGGGAGGGCCATCGTCCTGCTAATAAAGTTTAGTCTATGAAGTTTAGGGCAACGTTAGCACGGAATTCTTTCTAATATTCTTCTAAACAACTGGGCCTTCGCTTGTCTTTTTCTTTGACTTTGTGTGCAAACGCCACGACCCTTTAATTAAAAGAGAGGTCGTAAAAAGAGAGAAAGAAAAGAAAAAAGCAAAAGAGAGGCATCGCACAATAGTCAAAGTTTAAAGGAAAGGTACAGATGCCTTTCTTGTGTGAAATATCAACATGGATTCCATACATAATAGAAGGTTAACAATTGTGTCTCGATAGGTTGCGCAAATTGCTAATCACGTGATCTTTTTCCTTTTATCTTTCGATTTGGTGTTCTCTACGACCATAGCTTTCTCGTTAGATTGAAATATTCAACTCCACGTTCTGGTGAAAGTCAGACCATCGATCCATGCTTGGTTCAAGAGATCAATCCCGTGTAAGGATCGAGCTTGACGTTAGGTTTTTTCCAAGTGCAAAGTCTCGATTGGGCAATGAACCCTTACGGATTCTTCCACCATTGTGTTCAAAACTTCCCGAGAATTCTTACTATCTTTTAAATAAGAATATCGACAATTCTTAACTCAAATCATTGGTACGGTACCGGTGCAATATGGACTAACTCAATGTGCAAGAGGAGTGACATTACACAATCCTAAAGCAAACACGGTTCGTTTCTAACCATAAAATTAGAAAGATTATGGCCAATCCCACACTGATCTTCATCATAGAAAACCCATGCTCCACTGGGCAAATCTTCGACCATTTTTTAAGTTAAGCCCAATTCACAGTTAGAGATTGTGCAATCCCCTGCCCAATAAGACTGAAAACAGCCCTACCATTGGATTTTTCTTCTTGGAGATTGTGCGAAGCTTTATCAGCTGCTAGTTTGGGCCGAGAGGACACATAGTCATGGGCCATGACTCGGCCCACATTCAAGGGCTTTTGGGCATGCACCAAAATAGATTGAACAAATTGAACCATCGAACTAAACCACTTATCTTCCGACCAAAAAAAAAAAAACCTAAACCACTTATCTTGAGAAGCTCTTGCAGCCAAGGAGTTTCACAATTCTTTTAAGAACTTTCTCTCCTTTTCCATAATTAAGAAAGAATTTGCATCATTGATCCCTCTGTTGGGAGCGCGTAGCAAAAGTTTGATACCTTCATCCGGGAAGACCGCCAAGAGGGAGCACAAATCCGACCCCATTAACAAATCCAGTTAGAACCACCTTCACTCAAAGCTAAAACCATTGAGTTATAAAACAATTATGATATATTAACTACTCCACATCACACCAATTCAACACAACTCACATATGTATCTCAACAATCTCCCAATCATGTGTGAAGATTAAGCTTAATACCTTCATCTGGGAAGATCGCTAAAAGGGAGCCCAAGTATGAGCTCGTGAACATGTTCAGTTAGACCCACTTTTATTCAAAAGCTCAATTTAACGAGTTATGGACCAGCTATGATGTATATTAATTGCTCCAAACCACACCAATTCTTCGATGCGAGACTTTTTATAACACAATTCATACTTGCATCTCAACATATCTCAAGAATACAATAAGTTCTTTCTTTTTCTTTTGTGCTAGCATAGAGGATCGAGCTTGGAACCTGCATCCAAACATTCCGACCCTCGCCCTATCTCGTGCCACTAGGCAAAACGCCTAGGATGAAGAAATCAGAACGTCGGCTGTATGTATGGTGTTTTGCCACCAGAGCATGTCAATGTCATCACATAGGTCATAGAATTTTTCTACCACTCCCAGCATTATTTATAGACATGTCACTGATACTTCCCACACAATTTTGGGAGAGTCGAAATTATAAATATATCAAGCGAAGCAATCATATTGTCACCAATAGAGTTAAGGCCACCGAAAATCTATGACATCGATGATGACATAATTTTATAGATCTAATTTGCCCCTCCGATCTTATAAAATTATGTTAAGAATTTTGTGCACTTACTCATTTCACTGTCGTTCGACCAAAGTAAAGGTGTCACGCTCATCTCATCAATGAATCAATGGTATTGCCAGGAGACAAGAATACAAGAGGAGCAGTAAACTGAGACACGTATACGAGCGACTGCAACTTCTCAACTCCAGCTGATTTGATGCGTGAGACGAAATCAATTTAACTTGGGTCTGTCCGAATTCTAGAAAGACATTGCAAAATGCCAACCACATCCTGAGTCTGCACACTAATTTGCATATTTTATCGTGCTAGATTGCTTCTTTCACCAAAAACAGCTCGAACATTAGGTGTGTCGACGTGGACAACGTTAATGTCACTCTTTCTATCCGTGCCATTTTCTGTAGGTCACCCAACAGCATTTTCGAACAGTCTTTTGCGTAAAACATCTTTCAAATCGTATATCTGCGCTCATCACTAGTCAATGTTGGTGGTCACCTAACAAGTCCATGAGAAAGTTCTTAGTACCATTCGAGCGATATCTTCCCTTAGAAGTTGTGACATATTACTAGAGGCGCAATTAATACATGGGACAACTCAGATACGTCATTCTCAGGTAGGAAGCA